AAAAAAAAAAAAGACAGAAAGGATCGCTTTTTGGCCGTCCTCGCACTCTGCTTCTCTATTCTGCCAGACAGGCGGCGATGAAGCCACCCTCGCGGATTCCCAGCAGCAGTCTGACTGAGGTGTGGTCTGCTCAAACATGAACGTTAGGCACCTTATTTACTCACATAATAGTAACATGCAAACCTCCTTGTAGAAAACATAATATTCATCTTTGTATCCTCCATTTACAAGCTATGACTGCGCAGAAAGAACAAGCAGAGAACAAAAAAGAAGAAGGAAAAAATAAATAAAAAAACGGGGGAAGAAGATGTGGGGCTGGAGTAGGTCAAAGGCCAAAAGTGTTGGGACAATCTTTGCTAGGTAAACACACCTCTGCTCGTCTGAAGTCAAAGTGTTGGAACACAAGGCTTGATGTCTCAATACTTGTGGGTTTGACTGCAAAGGGCCAGATTTCTCTCCTTCTGGTTGATGTGAGGGGGGGTGATACAAAGACTTTGGGCGGGTTGGGGTGAGCATGAGAAGCAGCAGTAGCAACAACAGTAGCAGCAGCAACAGCAATAGCAGCGATGTGATCTCACTCACACACAAACAACAAAACCTTAGAATCAGCTGATAACCACATTCAAACACACCGATGCCGACGGGGCTTCCGTTCAGACTGACTGAAACTTTCTTATAAGTGACTCATGAGTGTGGAAGGAGGGGGACAAACATACATGAAGAACCACTTCCTGCTTCCACCTCAGCTGTTTGGCATGATGCCATCGAACACTGCTGCACTCGTCCAATAATCACCCGTGTTCATCTGGCAGCAGCAGGTGTTCTACACCGACACATTTCATTTCATACTACAGAGGTTTGTGTATTCGTCATACGAGACCTCATCAAGTTTTTCTTTGTTGTGCGCTGACAAGTAGTGATAAAAGATGTTCAGCCTGGTGTTACTTTATATTTTTTCTTGTCAACAAATCCCATGAAAAGATTCATAAGTACTGCATGTTCCCAGTGCACCCTGGGATTCAGTGTAAAATGTTACAAACCCAACACAGCCTAATGGAAATAATTTAAATGAGCAGTTTAAACAAGATTATATCAAATGATCAGAGTACATTTTACACGTGTCGCTTAAATTTGAACCTAGCAGCTCATCCCATAGGTATGAGAAGCACGGTCTTGCTGAAATAAGCAGAGGCTTCACTGAAAGATCATCAGGGTGGGACCACATGTTGCTCCATCACCCAGCATTACTGAGGGTTTCATCTGGCACGAGCGTGGGCACAAACACGTTTTCCGTTGCAGTCTTCAGAGTATCGTATCACTAACCGTCTTTACTGAAAGACGATCCTTTCTAATCAAAGATGCTATGGACCTGTTGCCAGTTAGCTGTGAAACATCCTGCAACTTCTTCAGCTTTTCTGAAACATCCTGGCAACAAATTCACACATTTTCCTGAAACAAAAATGATCTGCAAACGTGTTATTGTTAGCATGTTATTCCCATGAGCTCGACTGTGGTTGAATAACAGTGAGTCGCACCGGAAAGCATGTTCCTTCATTACCAGCACGCAGCCGTTTACATGGACTCACACAGCCTTCCTGTGGGTGCTAGTGCCCACTAGAGCACCAAATGTGTTTGAGCTTAAAATAGTCCTCAACCAGTCCAAATCTAACTAGAGCCACGTGTGCAGCGTCCAGGTGCTGCACCCACCTCCCTGTGAGCCTCACGCTGAAAAATCCACTGGTTGGATTTTTTTTTTTTTTTTTTTTTAAAAAGCTCCACTAACAGACCTGTCATAATGACTCCCACGTACAGAGCTTTAAAATCGTGACAACAGTGGACTGTGAAAGCGATTGCTCTTCGACGATGAATTTTGGCATTAACAAGAAACACACTAATTTAACCTTGAGCCAAATGCTTCTTTTAAATATTGTGTCTCTTCAGCAGAAATGAATGGAACTGGTGCTTAGTGCCGAGTGCTACAGACGGGGTGAGGAGGTCACAAAAGTATTTAGACACTTTCATGGGATTTGCTGAGAGTAGGAAAAAACATCAAATTCATACAACCTTGTCCTCTGATCTTGAAAAGAAAGCAGAGCTTTCGTTTTTCAAAGATTTAATACATGGAGGGACTATAAAGACTGCACTTCACTCAGAAAACAAGCATGTCCCGCGTGCACGCCGACGTGCTGAGGCTGTACTGCTAGCACGCCTGGAACCAGTACGTAGTATGAAACAGACTCACATCATCATCACCCCAGCTGGGCTTTTCCTTTTTGGGGTTTGCTGGATGCGTCCACTTTGTTTGAGGCTCACTGTGATGTCACCTTTGCACTGTGACAATCAAACATGGAGCATTTCTGCCTTTTTAAGAAAGACACTCGACTGTATCCCGATGAAAGCTGAACTGAAGCTGTGTTAAAGAAGTAATATGTCCTTGAATGTTTAAACTGGAGTCAGTTAATAAATCATTCAGTTACAATCTCTCTCTCACACACACACACACACACAAAACTCCTGCAGGAGCATTAAGTGCTTTTCTGTGTTGTTAAAAGGTCTGACCAACAAACGCACACGTGTACACACTTATACAGTGAGGAGAGGGCTGCACCAGCACGCTGCCGAATGAGAACTCCACTCCAGTCTCCACTTTAAAGGGCTCGGCGGACTCTGCATCATTTGATCGCACTTTTTCTGCACACGGATGGATGGATGGAGTGATGACGAACAGTGTTTACCGGAGACGCCGTTAGAAAAGGGGGAGGGGGACTGGCGCAAACAGGAAAGAGAGACAGATAAAGCGCAAGAGCAGAGGAGAAGGCAACGATGAGCAGAGAAAAAGGCTAGATTTTCAAAAAGGTTTTTTTTCTGTGTTTCTTTTACAAAAAGGAGCCTCCCATAGCCCTTTGACTTTGACCACAGACAATTTTCCTTTAAAAACCTGATCTCTGTGCTGACAGACGCAGACAGGAATCTTCACTTTGTGTCATTCTTTTGTGGCTTTAGAAACGTGAAGACGGAGAGTCGAGCCTTCTTTTTTCCCCCCCTCCTTCTTCTTCTTCTTCACATATTTTGTGTTTTTCTGTGTGGGTTCGAGTTCAGTGTGGTGGCTGTTGGCAGAATGCACTGTGCAAGATGTCTGAGACGAGCATTTGGGGAAGGGCGGTGGACCTGGATGCAGGGAAGGGGGGCGAGAGGAAACATCAGGTACTCAGCAGTCAGGGTAGATTTGAAATGAGAAGAATCTGCTCTGACCACCTGCTAGACACACCCTCCTTAACAGGGGCTGAGGGCTTTCTTTTTTTAACTTGATATCAAAACAGCTGGGCTGATATCTCACAAACCTGAGCCTGGATCCCACTGAATCCAGCCAAGCTGTGTTTAGGACTCTAATCTTTGCTCACTTCCTCTGGTGGTTAGTTATAACACGCCATCAATCCAGCAGCTGCTCATGAGGCAGATTACCCCCCCCACCCCTCCCCATGATGTGAACGCAGACATGAAGCAGTACAGGTTATTCTCTTACTAAGTCTCACTGTGCCTGTGGTGTAAGCAGACAGAGATGTTTAGGCTGGGTACAAGGATTTCTTGCGGTTTTCAAAAAAGGAAGGACATAAGCTTATAATACTTGTTTTTTTTGTTGTTGTTTTTTTTGTTGTTGTTGGGTTTTTTTGTTTTGTTTTTTTGTTTTTGCTCCCAATTGTTTAAAACAACTTTGGAGCCAAAGTTCAGTCAGTCAATCAGTCCATTCACAAAAAGGCCAAAAAACAAACAAACAAGACAGGAAATTAAAAACATCGCTGTTATAACATAACATCATTTCCCTCTTCTCTTTTACAACAAAAAGATAGTGCAACTTTGAGATAACGTTTCTTTTGTGTTTTCAATGTTAAAACAAGTCATTCCCCCCCTTTGTTTTGCTTCCTTGTGAACCTTGGCACTAAGATTTGGGTTTGTGAGTCTCTTGTTTCGTTGTGTTCTCTGTAAAGTCCTTGATTCTCAGTTCTCGCTTTGTGCACAGATCCCGGTCCAAAAACAGAAAAACAATGAAGAAAGAAGAAAACAACAAACCCCCCCAAAACTGATCCCTCCTCAGTTCCTGGGGACAGCGGCATCGCCGCCGGGGGGAGTGGGGGGGTTGAAAGAGAAAACTGTTTCAATCTGTGCTAGCAGTGTGGTTCTTTCTTAAAATAAGGAGGAAAAAAAAAGTCTGGACACAGTGCGTACATCCTGTCCCAGCAGTGCTAGCGCATGGATGAAATGAGATCAGTTGTTGGTTCCTCTCTTTGCTCGTTTCTGTAGCTAAAGTTGGTGTGTTTGTGCATGGGAGTGTGGAGAGAGGACGTGAGAGACAGAGCGATAAGAGACACCCCGGCTTACAGGAGGTCTGGGGTGAACGAGAGACACAGATCTCAGTCTGGGGTGGGTTGCCCTACCTCTCCCCTCCCTGTTTCTTCACACCAAGTCCTCTGGTTGGCCGTCCTTGGCCTTGGCAGGTACAATTGTGCTTTCTGATTGGCTCTGCTGCTGGATTGTCCTGCTCCCCAGCCCCCCCGGCCTCCCCACCCTCTGGTTATTGCTGTGCTGGTGTAGAAAGAATGCTGAGCCAGGGTAGTGGCCTATCACCTCGCTGTATGCTGGCGGGGGGCCCTCCATACGCCCGTGGCTGCTGGAGTTGGCGGCACTGATGCCCGAGTTACTGCTGGGCGGCCTCGGGCCACCGCCCCCCATCCCAGCCCCTCCTCCCCCTACCCCTCCTAGACTCCCGCCTCCTCCCATGTCGATCAAGTCACTGTCGTAGATGGTCCGGTTGGGCGGTGCCCTCACCGACTCGCGGTTCAGCTCCATCTGCTGCTCGGGGTCACGGAGCTGGAGGGTGCAGGGTCCCTGGTACGGCGGTGGTTCCTCCCCGTCCGACAGAGAGATGGTGGGCGGCAGGTCAATCTGATGCTGCAGGTAGGGGTAGGTGGGCTGGAAGCGGCTGAAGCGGTCACGCTGCATGAAGGAGGGAGCGGTGAAGCGATCCCTCGCCTGCGGAGCATATAACACCTGAGAGACAGAGCGAGACAGAGGAGTGAATGAGCTGGGACATGCACGAGGAGAGGACAAAGATAAAAGCTTGGCTGTGAGCTGGCTGGCATCAACAGGAACTCGATCAGTCTTAATACCAGTATCTTTCTGATACACATACAACGTGAAAATGACCAAACACTCAAACTGATGTTGAGTGCAATGAACTGAGAGTCACTGTTTGATCTACAAAACTTCTGTTTGAGTTTTTGGGATTATTTCGGCGGTTCTTGTTTAAAATTTTTTTTTTTTTTTGTTAATCATTAAAATCATTTTCATGACCAGTCAGCCTTGTGAGTTAATGACACTGTAGCAGCAAAAACTACTTATCACGTCTGGCCTGCAATCCAAAATCCAAATCTATCAAACGAGCAATGAGGCTGGAAGCAACAAGTGTTTCTCATTTTATTTGTCAAGTGACTTATCTGTGATTATTCATCCATCCCAATTCATTACCTGTAATTTTTAGAGTCATACCCAGAGTCTATTAACAGTTTAGCAGTTCTGACCTTACCCTGTACACAGCCTTCATTTGTTTATTCTGTTTTGGTCACAGTGTAAACCAGTCATAGCCTCACAGCAAGTCACATGATGCTTTCTGCATAACAATCATTTCTGTATACGCTGATTTCACGCAAGCTTTTGCTGGGAGACGAGGCACCGTACAGTGAAGTATGGTTACCATGCTGCATATTTAAAATGAATGATATCCTGGTGCAGCAACGGCACACGCCAGCGTGCCACCAATTAGCTGTGACAGACATTACAATGTAATTACAGTAAAGAGGAAGAAAGGAGCCCGCACTCAAACAGAAAAACATTCAGCACACCGGTTCATCCACCAGCTTTTGTCAGAGATCTTCACCTCAATTAACTCTTCAGACTGTGACGGCATGATCCATTTCTTCATTTCTCACATTTCTATCCAATTCCACACATTTCCACTGTGTCGAGTCATTATCAGAGGGAACCCATTTCAATTAGTGACTGCGGCTCTAATAGCCAACCCCCACTGACAAGGCAGTCTGGGTGGAGAGAACAACAGACGGGGGAGGGAGGGGTTTTTTTAGAGGATCAGGGCAATTGAAATGGAGAGACGGAGTGAGGGAAAGAGTGGTACTGAAAGGATTAAAAGGAAAGGCTACTGAGATAAGGAGAGAGAAAGAAAGCGCACAGAAATGAAAGGAGGAGAAGAAAGAGGCAGGGAGATAAAACGCGAGAAGGGAAAAAGAGCTGAAGGCAGAGAGAGAAAGGACAGAGACAGACAAATAGACAGACGGCAGGGGGAGAAAGGTGTGGAGCTGATAGAGGGAGCAGAGCGCAGCAGAGCGGGGCAGCTCTCAGACGTCTGTCTAGACAGTGTCAGGGGAGGTGTTGCTGATTAATGACGCACCAAAAACCATCCAACCCCCCGCCCTGCCACACAAACACTCAGTCAGCCCCCATCCCTGCATCCATCAGCCACCCACACTCAGTGGCTGCGTCTCCCTCTGCGTTCGTCTCTCCGTGGCCTTTTCCTTAGTTTCCGGGTCTCTCTGGGTGCACACGTCGTTTTTACCTCCTCTCTCTCTGCCGCATAAATACTGGGGCACTTTAAATCCGACTTGGTGCTACAAGCCAGTACAGACTGCCAAAGTGCATCCACACTTGCCAGCTCAAAACTTTCACACAGCCTCAATATACTATTATCTGCAACTAATCAATACTACCATGTGATTTTCCAGCAGTCTTTTAACCCAGCGCGTCTCTTCCGACCCTGACTCGGAAGCTCCTCCATCTGGCATCAACGCAATTAAGAGATCAGATCACCAGTCACAATGAGTATACTGGCATTTGTTTGTGCTTTTGTATTCACGAGTCTTTGTGAACATGCCAATTTTGATCTTGTTTTGGAGTACAGTGCCAGGCATACCCATTGCAACACAGTGTGTGAGCTCCAATTCCTGCACGATCAAATATTTACCAGCAAGCAAAAAAATGCACATATCAGGCTCTCTGGGCCCTGACTGAACCGCCAAACAACTCTACAAGGGCAAGCGCTGATAAATAAGCCAACAAAGACACAAAGAGAAGCTGAGAGGAAATGGATGTCTTTTATAACGGGGCGAGCAGAGCGTGGAGATTAGACAAAAGCCATGCCTGAGTGTGTTCAGGTCTCCTTTCTCTGTTTTATTCCTTTTAATTACCATTTTTACTCACTGCACTTCTCTATACCGACTCTGAATGCCAAACTGTTAAATGCACTTTTATCATCTATGTTCTTTTCATTGCATTTTAGTTTGATAAAAAGGTATGAATTTTGGGGTTCTGTATTTGTTGTGTTTATTTGTAAGGGCTGCAGCTACTTGAAAATAAAATATTCAGCAGCAGAGAGCATCTGATTGTAAGCCTTTAAAGATCACTTGGTTTTTCCACAAGGACAAACACTGAATTAACCCATAACCAGAGCTGCCAACGAGGTTTTTATTAATATTTAAATTGCTTCCCTAAAAACGAGGCGAGAAACTAATTTAGCGTCCTAACCAAATGAACCAAGTCCAGGTGGTCACACTGTGATTCTGACTGAGATGCAGCTGCAATAAATGTGTCAGATTATCAAAATTTATTCAGCCATACGTTGCAGTTAACAATACCTCTACACTCTTCTACGCACTCTGCCTACAGACAAAATCTGTACTGAGGAAGGATACTGCGCTGGGCTGAATATTTGTTGACATCATCATTGCACGTTCATAGTTTTTTGTTTGTTTGGAGAGACCATCAGTGTAACTGTGTTCTTTTAATTTTTTTTAAAAGTGCTGTTTTATGCATTCATTGTTTCCTTATAGTTGCGATGCTGACAAGAGTCATTGTCTCCATTTAGTTCTTTATACCTTACTTTGTTAAAGGTTTGAGAATTTCTAAAAGCTCCTGCAATTCAAGGAAATTCCTGACAGAAAATGTGTCCAAGGATCACAACTGTTTCCAGATCCAATGCTCAGAGAGAAAAGACCAACAACCTTATCACAGTAACTTAACTGGTTAGAGGCTACACACTCAGGAGCCTGCAGACAGCCAAACTAGCAGAAATTTTAGTAAGAACTTGCTGAATCTACTGAAATTCGATATTTGTAAGTTTACATATAACAAGTGTAGCCAAAGCAATACTCAGTTTCATTGTGGAAAAGTGAAGTTTCATTCAGCTGAGCACTCAGCTCCTGTAACATTAGCTGAATGTGTTTATCGGGAGTCAGTGTGGTGGTCTTACCTCCGAGGCACCTTGCCGAGAGCCGCTGTCTGAAGGCCACAGGCACCCGTCCTGCACATGGAGACACAAACAAAGAGGAAGGCAAAGGTTCAAAAAGTCCCCGGGTGGGTTGAAGATTGTTGTGTTTGTGCTTCAGTGGGATGCTCAGGTTAGCAACAAAAACAACATATTACTAGAGATGCATAAACAGGACTGGTCCAGAATTTAAGATGAGAAAAATACATGTAAAAGAAAATGTAAAAATGGTGTCATCAGGTAGCCTGTCCAGGTGAGCAGCTCCCGATGTAACAAGAATATGAGCTGACCAAATATATGCCCAGATATCCAGTGCTGGATACTGAGGATGAGCTGGGGCTGGGCTCTAGGGATAAAATGTGTAATGCTTTAGAAGTCTGCAGTCATTACGGTTTGCTGTGTCTGAAAAGGATTTTGATGTGACACCATTAACAAACTTTCTTACTTCACAGCTAAAGAACAAAAAAAGGAGAAGAAAAAGAAGAAAGCATGAATTAAAAAAACAAAAAAACAACAACAACAAAAAACCAAAAAGTAACAACTTAATGAGGACACAAAAGATGAAACAGCGGCACTGAGAAATGCCTGATGGCTTCAAACCCAAAATTCTGCCCTGTTTGAGAGCACAACAAAAGACAGAAGACTCCATTTTAAAAATAGGCAGGATAAAAGCTACAACAAATAAACACAACTGTCAAATAATTGCAGTTTCCCCTTCATCTACACTTGACTGGAGGATCTTTTCTCAGACAGCACAGTCAACAACATTTAGCTGGGTTTTTTTTTTTTTGTTTTGTTTTAGGGGGGGCAACATGAGAAGCATAAACATGCATAAATACTGTTTATTCATGCATCTTTTAGGGGTAAAGGTCATCATTCAGTGGGCTTGTTGCTTTCTGATGTTGCTTTGTACCTCGCTTTGATTGAATGATACACAGCACAGAGTGGCAGGAGGAATCAAAAAGCAGAGCTTATTAGCTGAACACTAATATTCAAATTGTTGGTAACAGTACACCAAAGCTGACAAATCATTAGGCTGAATATGTTTATGGATCCATAATGCTTCATGTTTTGAGCCTGAGTCTATTTCAACGCACATAAATAAACTGTGTGTGTGTGTGCATGTGTGTTTGTCCCAGAGTGTACATGTCAGTACGGGGGCAGAGCGGCTGCCGTCTAGACGGCGCTGTAGTGAATTAAACATCAAGGCCTGACAGAGTCTGGCTCTGAAGAAACCAATTCAGCAAGTTCATCTAACAGACGCGCGCGAAGACGTTACCTCGCTGAAACTGGGACAGAAACTCAGACTGGGATAAAAGGATTCATTTAGCTCAGCACAGCTTTACTGGGAACATACTGGTAAGCTATGTTTGTCCTGCTGCAGAAATACAGAAATGTACTGTCACAATGAGTAGGCAGGGACATTCAGTGAGAACAGATGAACACACATGCGCGCGCACACACAGACACCAGTTTAGATCAAAATGTTACTGGCATGGATGCTGGGAGAACAGTGCCGTCTGAGCCACTCAGTACAAGCAACACAAACAAACAGTCTCTTTTTAGCTCTCCCTTTCTTTCTCTGTTTCTCAAACACCCACCCGCCCACAAACCCACCCACCCACACTGACCTGTTGTAGGGCATGGTCATGCCTGCGGGCCTGGCTCTGCCTCGTTATGAAAGACCAGGTGGAGAGCTTGTAGTGGTTGAGCAGGCAGATGATCACCACCACCATCACAGTCATCACAACGATGATGATGATGATCTGAACAAACTCCAGTTCAGCTGCATAAACACATGGAAAGAGAGGAAGAGGATTAGCATCTAACTTTTAGAGATTAAAGGTACTTTAGCAGTTAATGACTACTCTTAATATCAAGTTATTTAAAAAGGAAAAAAAAAAACACATCACGTGGTTTCCAGACAAATCTGCATCATCTCAAAAACACCCAATACATTTTCTAAGAGCACAAACAGACCGACAGAAATATTTAATTTTGTCCAATAAACACTTTAAAGCAATTCAAATTTAATCACATGCGGGGAAATAAGATTTGAGAATGTTTCACACACATCTTAAAAACTGCCTTCAAGTGAAAATCACATTATGTAGCAGAGATAGTGAACACCTCCAGGATTAGGATATTTGCAGGCCTTTTAAAGTCAGACAGGTTGAAATTTGACTGAACTACTTCAGTTTGAGAATCCTAAGAGTCACATTAATCATTCTTCGTCAAATCTGCACTGTTAAAAAGGCAGATTTAAAGCAAAGTGATAACAGGCCAGTTTCATAACTAAGATCATCTCTGCTGATGGAGATCATGCAAAATGAAGCCTCCAGGACACCCGGTAAGAGGACCAGTGATTTGAACCACGACTGAGCTGCTCTAATGTGTGTTCGCCAGCAGAGAGCAGCACAGGTCAATCTCCAAGTGGCTGAGTGTATGTGTGATTTACACGGTATATGAATATGTGTGTGTCTGTCTGAGGAATCTACAGAGAAAAGCTTCAAATCACAAAAAAGATGAGTGTTGAGACAGTGTGTGCCGTCTGTCCCAGAACACAGTGGTTCCTTTGTGGAGACACTGAATAACTGTGGTGTTCTGTTCTGTGAAACACAGCCACACACACACACACACACACACACACACACGAGCATCAGAGCTGTGGTATGACCTCCCAGATCAGGGCACCACCGGGAGACACAATGATCGCCGCTTTTCACTTACGTCTGCCTCCCATCTCTTGTTCATTGTTTCATGCTCTCTTGCTTGTCTTTGAACCCTGTCTGCATCTCAGCTCACCTGCCATCACTTTCTCCAACTTTCCTCTAACCCTATCCATGCATCCTCCTCTCCCTCGCCTACACGCCTCTTCTTGCAGTCTTTCAACTCTTCTTGTCTTTACCGATCTCTTTGCATTCTTCCCTCACCCACCATCATTCATTCCCTACATTTCCCTCATTCTTTGTCATCTCCTACTTTGGTTCTCTCCCTTCTTTCTCGTCCACCCCGTCTCTGCTCCCTGCCAGCCTCCCTGTCTGCAGTGTGACACTCTTTTGTTGTGTGTTGTTGGTTTGTTCTGAGTAGGAGTCTTGACCTTGTCCGGTGTTGGCACCCAGTCTGACCTCTGACTCACACGCTTGCTCACTGCTGGACATCCAGTACACTGTGCGTGTGTTCTGTATGAACAATGACACAATGTACGCTCTGCTATTTCAGCCACAATGCCTCAATTCTCAATGCTCCCCCCCCCCCAAAAAAAGCTCTATGCAATCTGAGGAGCACATTACCCATGATGCAACTGGACAGCTTTTGACATGGCAAGGGTAGATCGAGTGAAAAAAAAGTAAGCAAAGTGTTAAAATCCAAAAACAAGAAGAAATGGAAAGTAATCAGTAACAGAATATCTTGTGAATTCTTTGAAATTAAGAGCACAGAAGGAGACAACCAGAAATGAAAGAGAGCTAGTTAAAGCCAGCCTATCTCAGGCTTCCCTGCCTAATAATCCTCCGTGGCTTATTTGTCTGCAATATGGTGGGTTAGAGTCAAAGCTGGGCTGAAATGCAAAACCCACCCAAACCTGCCTCTGCTTTACCACAGCAGCCACAGGGCGGGGCAGGAGTGAGAGGAACAAGGCCAACTAGAAAAAAACCACAGTGAATGGGGGGTGGGGGTAAGAAAAACTGTGGGAAGGAATGAAACCTAAACCAGCAAAACCAACGAACATTAACCACCAAAGAGCAAAGAGGTGGGTACTGCAACCAACGGTGACAGAGAAGCTCCACAACTTCCCCTCTGAGATGAAAGTGAGGTGGTGAAGTGAGCTCAGATGAATTTAATAGTATAATTCAGCAAATTTACCTCATTAAACAGCCTTCTCAAACTATTTAATTGACACATACAATAACAATCTTAGTGGAAAATCATGACCCACCCCTCTCACATCAGACATTTGAAACTAAGGTATTAAACTCTTGATCGCAGTGCGAGTCACCTAATATTTAACAGGCAAGAGTAAGGGGAGTGCTGAGAGTCGAGGTGAAGGGTCGAAACTGGTGTTTAAAAAAAAAAAATCTCCTAGTAACATAACATCATGGAGGAAGCCTGTGGCAAGGAGCGACAATTCAAACCTTACTGCCCATCTCAGCTCGAAGACCTTGTATCATATTATACCAGTACAGCAGGAAACCTGGCCTACTTGTGGTTGTTAGTTTCCAAAAGTCAAATGGGTGGCAGAGCCTTCAGCTGTCAGGTGATCTCATATGGAACCAGCTCCCAGTATTCAAATTCTCCTTTTGGATAAAACCAACTTGTGTACCTCGCTCAGGGAACCTTCTCTGAGGTAGTTCTGCTGGAGGTCTCTGTTAAAAGGGAGTTCTTCCTCCTCACTGTCTTTAAGTGCTTGCTCATACCTCATTCTTGTTGTACCTTGCAATATAAAGCTGCCTGAAACTGGTGCTATATTAATACAGTTCAGTTGTACTGAGCCTTGTTGAAGTGTGGTGAACCCCTGCTTTAAATCATGGGGCAACATGAACATCTGTATCAATTCATTTAACTTCTGTCAAGGTATTTTACTCTAAAGTACAGCTTCATTGTGGTACGAGGTTTCATACCAAGAATATATGTACAAGATTGAATAAAGTTAAGTAAAAAAACAAAAAAAAAAAAACAGAAGACACTCCCACTCCCCAGTTTGGGCGCATCAGCTCTCTGTGAAATAAAGCACTGTGTCAGAAAGTTAAGTTGTCGAGCTGCCTGCTTTACTTTGGAGCTTCATCCAGTTACCAGCCTGGGCCTGTGCATTCACCACAGCAGCCACAGGGAGGGGACGGAGGAGGCTTTCAATCAGAGAGAAGCATTCTGGGAAACCAAGTCGACCAGGCCCTCCTGTAAGCCAGCTGGATAAATATCACATACTCTGCCTTCTGCTGTTGTAAAAGCGGCACAAAGCCGACGCCTGACTCAAAGCTGGTGTACTTCTTCTGAAGTGCACAGGCGGGGATGTTTTCACAGCTCAAGTTCATGTTTTTACAGTTCAAGCAAAATAAAAAAGTACAGCGGCTGTAGTTAATGGCCTCTTCTCTAAACGCCAGGGAGGAAGGAAGCCAGAGGAGGAGTTGAGAAGAGAGGAAGGAAGTGCGGGGAGGAGAAAAGACTGGGGGGTGTCCTCTCTGAACCCAGTATCCACCCGCGTTCAGAGGCTCCAGAACAGAGCGTACAGCACAGGCTCGCTCACAGGCCAGAGAACAGTGTGTGCTGGCAGTCTGCATTAACAGCACCAGCCTGATGTTATTACTACAGTAATCCACTTGTCAAAACAATATCAGCCCGGCGTCTGCAAAAACCCTTATTCCTTCAGCAGGATGAATCACTTGCATTACAAGCCAGCCGTCCTGTCGTTTTTTTTCCTGCTGTGGTGACGAGAGAGGCCATCGAGTTTATTCAAATCATGTCAAAGTGACCATGCTGCACAGCACCGAGCTTAACACATCTGTTCGGGCACTGGCTGTTTTTACACAGCACAGCTTTGTCGACAAAAGGGAAACATAAAAAAAAAAACATACTGTACATACAAGTATACTTTGAGGGTGTTAAAAAAAGTAATTCAAAGCCAATTTTAAAGCAAGAATTCTCACTACCAGAAGGCAAGTAGAGCTTTTTAAAAACATGCTTATGGCAGCAAATATAGCAAAACTAATCTATATTCTACTGAAAAGGCCTCTCTGTCAAATGCTGTAAATGTTAACTCCATAAAGCTTAAAACAGTCTTATTCAGGCTTTTGTTTTTTTGTTTTTTAACTGTAGCCAATTTCATGAGTCAGGAAGTGACTCAGAAGAAGATACAAATCAAGTAGGGCTTACAATAACAATTACGTCTATGAGAGGTCAAAGCTTTATCGTTTACGTTGAAGAACAAATGATTTTTTTTCTTAAAAAAAACAACAACTTTATTTTAACAGTGAACAGTAATGGGATGATGGGACATGAGGAAGGAGAGAAGGAATGATGTAGTTGGACTTGACATGAACCCAAACATAGAGGATTTCAGTACTTGGCAGATTCTGTGCTACAGGCAAAAAGCCAAACACTAAAAGAGAGGGTAAACAGCTTGGAGAGAGAGAGAGTGCACACACACACTAACCCAGTGACAGCGCTGTAACCTGTGTGTGTATGCATAGTGGACGGGGAAGGCAGCAGGAGGTCAGACAGTTCAGCTGACCTGTTGGTGAAAGAAGCTGTCAGATGCACAGCAGACGACTGCGCCACTATCAGTGGCCAACACTGCTTTAAGACACACCGTTTGAGAATAGCGATGAATTATGTAAACCCTAACAAGATCAATTCACTTTATTCCCCCAAAGAAATGGCTGCCCATGTCACAAATCCCTTTGTTTGTTTGTTTTAAACCACAGTAAAAACATTGCTGCTGATGTGAACAGAGCCTGTTTCGTGCGTCTGTCTCTGTACAGTACACGGGATTAGACCGTTTCAATGCACACGTCTATGTCTATATAATGTGGCCCAACAACAGCGTGTATATACTGCTGATTCACTCCTGCTGGCAGCAAAAGTTAACACTGAGGCGAAAAAAATCACTTGCACGACTAATGAGGGTTTGCGAGCTTACCCTGTTGAGCCTTGAAATGAAAATCAGGCTAATGGCAATCTACAGAGACTGCACACGCTCAGATGGGGCCTCTAACATTGTTATTGCTCAATAAAAATAACATTTGAGATGACCTTAGATGCTTCCGTGAGAAAAGTGGGCCTGGCTGGTTT